GCCTCTATCATAATCCAGAGTTTTGAGAAGATTGGAGAAACTTAATTTTCGCCAAAAATGAAAAAAACGAAAGGGTAACACTGTCGTTTTTTTTTCGGGTCGAAATTTTGAATTTTGATATCTCAGCTCTGGAAGGGTCTAGAGCCTCCATTTTTGCACTCAGGTCAAAGTCTGGCCTCTATCATAATCCAGAGTTTTGAGAAGATTGGAGACTTATTTTTCGCCAAAATGAAAAAACGAAAGGGGTAACACTGTCGTTTTTTTTTTCGGGTCGAAATTTGAATTTTGATATCTCAGCTCTGGAAGGGTCTAGAGCCTCCATTTTTGCACTCAGGTCAAAGTCTCGTGGCTCTATCATAATCCAGAGTTTTGAGAAGATTGGAGAAACTTAATTTTTCGCCCAAAATGAAAAAACGAAAGGGGTAACACTGTCGTTTTTTTTTGGGTCGAAATTTTGAATTTTGATATCTCAGCTCTGGAAGGGTCTAGATCCATTTTTTGCACTCAGGTCAAAGTCTCCAGGCCCTCTATCATAATCCAGAGTTTTGAGAAGATTGGAGAAACTTAATTTTTCGCCCAAAATGAAAAAAAAAGAAAGGGGTAACTGTCGTTTTTTTTTCGGGTCGAAATTTGAAATTTGATATCTCAGCTCTGGAGGGTCTAGAGCCTCCATTTTTGCCTCAGGTCAAAGTCTCGTGGCCCTCTATCATAATCCAGAGTTTTGAGAAGATTGGAGAAACTTAATTTTTCGCCAAAATGAAAAAAAACGAAAGGGTAACACTGTCGTTTTTTTTTTCGGGTCGAAATTTTGATTTTGATATCTCAGCTCTGGAAGGGTCTAGAGCTCCATTTTTGCACTCAGGTCAAGTCTCGGCCCTCTATCATAATCCAGAGTTTTGAGAAGATTGGAGAAACTTAATTTTTCGCCAAAATGAAAAAACGAAAGGGGTAACACTGTCGTTTTTTTTTTTCGGGTCGAATTTTGAATTTTGATATCTCAGCTCTGGAAGGGTCTAGAGCCTCCATTTTTGCACTCAGGTCAAAGTCTCGTGGCCTCTATCATAATCCAGAGTTTTGAGAAGATTGGAGAAACTTAATTTTTCGCCCAAAATGAAAAAAAAACGAAAGGGGTAACACTGTCGTTTTTTTTTTCGGGTCAAATTTTGATTTTGATATCTCAGCTCTGGAAGGGTCTAGAGCCTCCATTTTTGCACTCAGGTCAAAGTCTCGTGGCCTCTATCATAATCCAGAGTTTTGAGAAGATTGGAGAAACTTAATTTTTCGCCCAAAAATGAAAAACGAAAGGGTAACACTGTCGTTTTTTTTTTGGGTCGAAATTTTGAATTTGATATCTCAGCTCTGGAAGGGTCTAGAGCCTCCATTTTTGCACTCAGGTCAAAGTCTCGTGGCCCTCTATCATAATCCAGAGTTTTGAGAAGATTGGAGAAACTTAATTTTTCGCCCAAAATGAAAAAAAACGAAAGGGGTAACACTGTCGTTTTTTTTTCGGTCGAAATTTTGAATTTGATATCTCAGCTCTGGAAGGGTCTAGAGCCTCCATTTTTGCACTCAGGTCAAAGTCTCGTGGCCCTCTATCATAATCCAGAGTTTTGAGAAGATTGGAGAAACTTAATTTTTCGCCCAAAAATGAAAAAAAACGAAAGGGTAACACTGTCGTTTTTTTTTCGGGTCGAAATTTTGAATTTCGATATCTCAGCTCTGGAAGGGTCTAGAGCCTCCATTTTTGCACTCAGGTCAAAGTCTCGTGGCCCTCTATCATAATCCAGAGTTTTGAGAAGATTGGAGAAACTTAATTTTTCGCCCAAAAATGAAAAAAAACGAAAGGGGTAACACTGTCGTTTTTTTTCGGGTCGAAATTTTGAATTTTGATATCTCAGCTCTGGAAGGGTCTAGAGCCTCCATTTTTGCACTCAGGTCAAAGTCTCACACTCTATCATAATCCAGAGTTTTGAGAAGATTGGAGAAACTTAATTTTTCGCCCAAAATGAAAAAAAAACGAAGGGGTAACACTGTCGTTTTTTTTTTCGGGTCGAAATTTTGAATTTTGATATCTCAGCTCTGGAAGGGTCTAGAGCCTCCATTTTTGCACTCAGGTCAAAGTCTCGTGGCCCTCTATCATAATCCAGAGTTTTGAGAAGATTGGAGAAACTTAATTTTTCGCCCAAAAATGAAAAAAAACGAAAGGGGTAACACTGTCGTTTTTTTTTCGGGTCGAAATTTTGAATTTTGATATCTCAGCTCTGGAAGGGTCTAGAGCCTCCATTTTTGCACTCAGGTCAAAGTCTCGTGGCCCTCTATCATAATCCAGAGTTTTGAGAAGATTGGAGAAACTTAATTTTTCGCCCAAAATGAAAAAAAAAACGAAAGGGGTAACACTGTCGTTTTTTTTTTGGGTCGAAATTTTGAATTTTGATATCTCAGCTCTGGAAGGGTCTAGAGCCTCCATTTTTGCACTCAGGTCAAAGTCTCGTGGCCTCTATCATAATCCAGAGTTTTGAGAAGATTGGAGAAACTTAATTTTTCGCCCAAAATGAAAAAAAACGAAAGGGGTAACACTGTTTTTTTTTTTCGGGTCGAAATTTTGAATTTTGATATCTCAGCTCTGGAAGGGTCTAGAGCCTCCATTTTTGCACTCAGGTCAAAGTCTCGTGGCCCTCTATCATAATCCAGAGTTTTGAGAAGATTGGAGAAACTTAATTTTTCGCCCAAAAATGAAAAAAAAACGAAAGGGGTAACACTGTCGTTTTTTTTTCGGGTCGAAATTTTGAATTTTGATATCTCAGCTCTGGAAGGGTCTAGAGCCTCCATTTTTGCACTCAGGTCAAAGTCTCGTGGCCTCTATCATAATCCAGAGTTTTGAGAAGATTGGAGAAACTTAATTTTTCGCCCGAAAATGAAAAAAAACGAAAGGGGTAACACTGTCGTTTTTTTTTTCGGGTCAAAATTTTGAATTTTGATATCTCAGCTCTGGAAGGGTCTAGAGCCTCCATTTTTGCACTCAAGTCAAAGTTTCGTTGCCCTCTATCATAATCCAGAGTTTTGAGAAGATTGGAGAAACTTAATTTTTCGCCCAAAAATGAAAAAAAACGAAAGGGGTAACACTGTCGTTTTTTTTTCGGGTCGAAATTTTGAAATTTGATATCTCAGCTCTGGAAGGGTCTAGAGCCTCCATTTTTGCACTCAGGTCAAAGTCTCGTGGCCCTCTATCATAATCCAGAGTTTTGAGAAGATTGGAGAAACTTAATTTTTCGCCCAAAATGAAAAAAAACGAAAGGGGTAACACTGTCGTTTTTTTTTTCGGGTCGAAATTTTGAATTTTGATATCTCAGCTCTGGAAGGGTCTAGAGCCTCCATTTTTGCACTCAGGTCAAAGTCTCGTGGCCCTCTATCATAATCCAGAGTTTTGAGAAGATTGGAGAAACTTAATTTTTCGCCCAAAAATGAAAAAAAACGAAAGGGGTAACACTGTCGTTTTTTTTTTCGGGTCGAAATTTTGAATTTTGATATCTCAGCTCTGGAAGGGTCTAGAGCCTCCATTTTTGCACTCAGGTCAAAGTCTCGTTGCCCTCTATCATAATCCAGAGTTTTGAGAAGATTGGAGAAACTTAATTTTTCGCCCAAAAATGAAAAAAAAACGAAAGGGGTAACACTGTCGTTTTTTTTTTTCGGGTCGAAATTTTGAATTTGATATCTCAGCTCTGGAAGGGTCTAGAGCCTCCATTTTTGCACTCAGGTCAAAGTCTCGTGGCCCTCTATCATAATCCAGAGTTTTGAGAAGATTGGAGAAACTTAATTTTTCGCCCAAAAATGAAAAAAAACGAAAGGGGTAACACTGTCGTTTTTTTTTTTCGGGTCGAAATTTTGAATTTTGATATCTCAGCTCTGGAAGGGTCTAGAGCCTCCATTTTTGCACTCAGGTCAAAGTCTCGTGGCCCTCTATCATAATCCAGAGTTTTGAGAAGATTGGAGAAACTTAATTTTTCGCCCAAAATGAAAAAAAAAAACGAAAGGGGTAACACTGTCGTTTTTTTTTTCGGGTCGAAATTTTGAATTTTGATATCTCAGCTCTGGAAGGGTCTAGAGCCTCCATTTTTGCACTCAGGTCAAAGTCTCGTGCCCTCTATCATAATCCAGAGTTTTGAGAAGATTGGAGAAACTTCATTTTTCGCCCATAATGAAAAAAACGAAAGGGGTAACACTGTCGTTTTTTTTTCGGGTCGAAATTTTGAATTTTGATATCTCAGCTCTGGAAGGGTCTAGAGCCTCCATTTTTGCACTCAGGTCAAAGTCTCGTGGCCCTCTATCATAATCCAGAGTTTTGAGAAGATTGGAGAAACTTAATTTTTCGCCCAAAAATGAAAAAAAACGAAAGGGGTAACACTGTCGTTTTTTTTTTTCGGGTCGAAATTTTGAATTTTGATATCTCAGCTCTGGAAGGGTCTAGAGCCTCCATTTTTGCACTCAGGTCAAAGTCTCGTGGCCCTCTATCATAATCCAGAGTTTTGAGAAGATTGGAGAAACTTAATTTTTCGCCCAAAAATGAAAAAAACGAAAGGGGTAACACTGTCGTTTTTTTTTTCGGGTCGAAATTTTGAATTTTGATATCTCAGCTCTGGAAGGGTCTAGAGCCTCCATTTTTGCACTCAGGTCAAAGTCTCGTGGCCCTCTATCATAATCCAGAGTTTTGAGAAGATTGGAGAAACTTAATTTTTCACCCAAAATGAAAAAAAACGAAAGGGGTAACACTGTCGTTTTTTTTTTCGGGTCAAAATTTTGAATTTTGATATCTCAGCTCTGGAAGGGTCTAGAGCCTCCATTTTTGCACTCAGGTGAAAGTCTCGTGGCCCTCTATCATAATCCAGAGTTTTGAGAAGATTGGAGAAACTTAATTTTTCGCCCAAAATGAAAAAAACGAAAGGGGTAACACTGTCGTTTTTTTTTTCGGGTCGAAATTTTGAATTTGATATCTCAGCTCTGGAAGGGTCTAGAGCCTCCATTTTTGCACTCAGGTCAAAGTCTCGTGGCCCTCTATCATAATCCAGAGTTTTGAGAAGATTGGAGAAACTTAATTTTTCGCCAAAATGAAAAAAACGAAAGGGGTAACACTGTCGTTTTTTTTTTCGGGTCGAAATTTTGAATTTTGATATCTCAGCTCTGGAAGGGTCTAGAGCCTCCATTTTTGCACTCAGGTGAAAGTCTCGTGGCCCTCTATCATAATCCAGAGTTTTGAGAAGATTGGAGAAACGTAATTTTTCACCCAAAAATGAAAAAAAAAAACGAAAGGGGTAACACTGTCGTTTTTTTTTTTCGGGTCGAAATTTTGAATTTTGATATCTCAGCTCTGGAAGGGTCTAGAGCCTCCATTTTTACACTCAGGTGAAAGTCTCGTGGCCCTCTATCATAATCCAGAGTTTTGAGAAGATTGGAGAAACTTAATTTTTCGCCCAAAAATGAAAAAAAACGAAAGGGGTAACACTGTCGTTTTTTTTTCGGGTCGAAATTTTGAATTTTGATATCTCAGCTCTGGAAGGGTCTAGAGCCTCCATTTTTGCACTCAGGTCAAAGTCTCGTGGCCCTCTATCATAATCCAGAGTTTTGAGAAGATTGGAGAAACTTAATTTTTCGCCCAAAAATGAAAAAAAACGAAAGGGGTAACACTGTCGTTTTTTTTTTCGGGTCGAAATTTTGAATTTGATATCTCAGCTCTGGAAGGGTCTAGAGCCTCCATTTTTGCACTCAGGTGAAAGTCTCGTGGCCCTCTATCATAATCCAGAGTTTTGAGAAGATTGGAGAAACTTAATTTTTCGCCCAAAAATGAAAAAAAACGAAAGGGGTAACACTGTCGTTTTTTTTTTCGGGTCGAAATTTTGAAATTTGATATCTCAGCTCTGGAAGGGTCTAGAGCCTCCATTTTTGCACTCAGGTCAAAGTCTCGTGGCCCTCTATCATAATCCAGAGTTTTGAGAAGATTGGAGAAACTTAATTTTTCGCCCAAAAATGAGAAAAAACGAAAGGGGTAACACTGTCGTTTTTTTTTCGGGTCGAAATTTTGAATTTGATATCTCAGCTCTGGAAGGGTCTAGAGCCTCCATTTTTGCACTCAGGTCAAAGTCTCACAGCCCTCTATCATAATCCAGAGTTTTGAGAAGATTGGAGAAACGTAATTTTTCGCCCGAAAATGAAAAAAAACGAAAGGGGTAACACTGTCGTTTTTTTTTTCGGGTCGAAATTTTGAATTTTGATATCTCAGCTCTGGAAGGGTCTAGAGCCTCCATTTTTGCACTCAGGTCAAAGTCTCGTGGCCCTCTATCAGAATCCAGAGTTTTGAGAAGATTGGAGAAACTTAATTTTTCGCCCGAAAACGGAAAAAACGAAAGGGGTACGTACCACTGTGTGTGGGGGGGGGGGGGGGGGATGGGTTTGGTGCGAAAAACAAGTTTTTTCAATCTTTTGAAACTCTGGATTCTGATAGAGGGCCAAGGGACTTAGACCTGAGTGCAAAAATGGAGGCTTATTTAGCCTCCTTAGGAGATATTTATAATGGCATAAAAGCTATGTGCACGTGAAAGTCTCGTGGCCCTCTATCATAATCCAGAGTTTTGAGAAGATTGGAGAAACTTAATTTTTCGCCCAAAAATGAAAAAAAAACGAAAGGGGTAACACTGTCGTTTTTTTTTCGGGTCGAAATTTTGAAATTTGATATCTCAGCTCTGGAAGGGTCTAGAGCCTCCATTTTTGCACTCAGGTCAAAGTCTCACAGCCCTCTATCATAATCCAGAGTTTTGAGAAGATTGGAGAAACTTAATTTTTCGCCCGAAAATGAAAAAAAACGAAAGGGGTAACACTGTCGTTTTTTTTTTCGGGTCTAAATTTTGAATTTTGATATCTCAGCTCTGGAAGGGTCTAGAGCCTCCATTTTTGCACTCAGGTCAAAGTCTCGTGGCCCTCTATCAGAATCCAGAGTTTTGAGAAGATTGGAGAAACTTAATTTTTCGCCCGAAAACGGAAAAAAACGAAAGGGGTACCACTGTGGGGGGGGGGGGGGGGGGGGAGGGGGGGTTTGGTGCGAAAAACAAGTTTCTCCAATCTTCTTGAAACTCTGGATTCTGATAGAGGGCCAAGGGACTTAGACCTGAGTGCAAAAATGGAGGCTCTAGACCCTTCCAGAGCTAAGATATTGAGATATTTATAATGGCATAAAAGCTGTGTACGTCAATTTATGTCAATATCTCAGCTCTGAGATATTGATGTTTACGTAGCATTTATGCCATTATAAATATCTACCACTACTATATATACACTACTTCGGGAACCCGAAGTTGAGTTTAATTCGGGTTATTCCCTGCTACACACATTTTGTAGCATTGCTGTAATTTGTACACTTTAAAGATGTAAATATTAAAAAGTGTTCAAAAGAACAAGTAAAAAAAAACAGTAAACGAACCCTGAAAAAAGCACAAGGAATGCATTCAAATGTTACACCCTTTATTTATTTTTATCACACTAATTAAATCTGAACTCTTTTACATGAATTCTGTTTTTTTTACATGAATTAGTAAAATCTTTGCTAGGAGTTCTGTGACTGATGTCCTCAGAAAACATTTGAAAGAAACATCTTGAGTTAAAAATTAAAAACTGAGTAGAATTGCAAAAAGACCAAATATAATTCATTGAAAATATTACTTTCAAAATGCAACTTTTGCAAATGATGTTACAAATCCCAACAACTGGTTTATGGTATGTTCATTAAATTTTCCTTTAATATACACAAATAGTTTACAAAGGTGTTCTTTCTAACTTTTCACAAAACCTTTCAAAAATTATCTTTAACTTTTTAACTTTTAAACTTTATTTTTTTTTGTTTACTTTTTTCCCTGCACACGTTTAAATACACCTTGGGATATAATATATTTATATATATATATATATATATTATTTGCAAATGCTACCAGTTATCAAGATCAGACTGCTGCCTCAACAAAGACAACAGCCAAAAGCGAAACAACGTCAGAACATTAAGTTTTGTAAGTCTTGAATTTCTGATTCTTAGCACTACACTTGGTTCCCAAAGTGCTCCAAAAACCATTATCATCGCCAAGATTCATTTCAGCATTCAAGCATGATTTATCATTCCTGTCCTCATAAAATATGGAGTCAAAGTGACTTCTTACTCTTGAAAATGGACATAAGCACTACCGTCTCGCTTTATACTCAGACAGAAGGGACATGGGACGTACGGAAAGAGCCCGGAAGACAATGGAGTCAAAGATGGGTTATCGGACCTGTCCTCTACGCTTGAACCAAAGTCCAAACCCCTCTTCACAAGCCCCAGAAAGGTACCAAGTTCCTGCGGTCCCTCTCATACACGTCAGGAATGACACCGTATGGTGTCTGGATCATTTTCACAGAGTTCCTTCCAAACAGTTTCCTCTCGTACTCAATGAGTTGTCGCCAGAACCCTCCATTAGGACGAATGACGGGTCGGCGGGCCTTGACCCAGGCGTGAGCTTCGGCCAGGGAAACTCTGTGGTACTTCATGAGGTACGCCAAACAGAGGGAGGCGGAGCGGCTCACCCCAGCCGCGCAGTGCACCAGGACGGCTCCCCGTTTGCGGCCCACACTGTGGATCTTATCAGCCACACTGTCAAAATAAAGCGAGATCGGCGAATGCGGCATGTCGGCCAGTGGCACTTTCACATACTCCATGTGCGGCCAGTTGAAGTTGGGCAGCTCGATGGTGGCGTTCACCACACATGTAATCCCTTTGGACAGGAGGAGGCTGCGGTTGGATGCTACATTCCCCCGAGCAAGGAACAGGGAAGGAGTGATCTGGGCGATGCCCCCCAACAGGCTGCTGGTCTCGGGCACCAGTCGGGGGACAGAAGTGGGCATCACTGAACTGCGGTGATGGTGGTGGTGGAAGAACCCCTGACTTCGGGAACCCATAGAGGAGCGGAGAAAGGAGACAGAGAAATAGAAACCTTGAGGGGGCGCCAGGATGTCTTTCAGTTCCCCGTGGTCATCTCAAAGTGAATGATGAGATCATACAGACCGTTGGGTGCACCTAAATCAAACCGAGAGTAACACAAGTCAGTTGGTTTGAAATAACAAGTAGTGCAATCTCTGGAACAAGTGCCTTGCACACGGCAAAAAATCGTATGTCCATTGTGGGTTATGAACCTTCAAACATTCTGGTTAGTCGTTAATAAATACGATCAGATTACATCATAAGGAACATCTAGATGTATAAAGGCAAAAATTATTATATGAAAATGTTTTTATGCGTACGCCAACTGTGAAATTGAGGCGCTTGTTCACATTTTTGAATTTAAGATTCAAGAACTTTTTTTTTTTTTTGCATTTGGACATTTTATGGTTCGTTTTCAGGAACATTTCAGAAATTGACATACATTCACATTCAGGATCACTGTATGCACGTCTTTAAAAATGAGGCCATAGAACACTGTCCCATGGAAACAATTTCTGTTTAGGCGCTTTTCTACAGCGTGGTACGACGCGGTTTGCTTTTCCAGTGCAGTTTATTACTGCTTTAAAGTGGATGGGATTACAGACTGATTGTTATAGTTGCCCCGCCTATACTGCCGTGACATATCATCGTAAACACGATACAAACGCAAACAGTCGGTTAAAGCAAGTTTTTGTGTGAACAAATGATACTGGCGGTGGCTGTTGCTGACTATTTATATATAGTGGGATTGGTGTCTTGTGTTGCAAATCCAATGATGCTGGTAGTGACGATTCTCTCTGACCAATCAGTGATCTGCAGTGTTCACACGTCACATTTTAGTATCGTTACGGCTCGCTTTTGAGGTGATACTAAAATAGTGTCAAAGCCTCATATGTCCATTTTAATTTGAAGACATTTTAAGATTCCAGAGAGGTGTTTTTACAAGTGTCGATGACTGAAGCTACTTTGACGATGGTAAAACAACATTAGCATGGCTGAATGCTGGTTTAATGGACGTAATTGCTGTGTGTACCCAGCAGATGTGCCCTTCTGTCAGACTCGCGTCCCTTGAGCTGTGCTTGAGAGTGTGGGGGCCAGACGGAGCAAGTGTTTACTGGAGCCTGGAGGACCCTTATTAATCAAACCAAGAACAAGGCTCGAAAACCTGTTATACGCGAATACACTGTCTGACAGTACGCTTGATGTATCGCACAGAACAAGAGGGCAGCCATATGACTCAGTATTCTAGAGGAAAAACACCTTTTGGAGTTTGGAGTTGTAAAACTGACAATGATTCGACTGAATAACATTTTGTATTTTATTTAAAAAAATCCATACATTATGAAACTTTAAATTTGGTCATGGTTTGGTTCAATCTGAATAAATGATTTGCTTAGCAGACATCTAATGAATCAATAAGCCCCAAGAAGTTGTGGTTTACAGTGATTTTATAAAAGCTGAAGGGCATTGTTAGACATGAAGCGGAGAATCACTGTAATCCACAGCTTTGTGGACTTACTACCTTTATACAAAGGTTACCACATGTTGCGGACACTGTGCCAGGCAAGATCTCATAAAATAAACACACAGCAACAAAAATGTAATACATTATTGATAACAAATAGCAGAAAAGTTGCCAAGAATCACACATGCAATGGAAAGCATCGACATGACTCTCAATCGAACTAAATAAGAATCTCTTGTTTTCTTCTTTTTTTAAGCCAAAGTTAATTAAATGCTAGCTAAACCCGTGTTGTGATAGCAAGTCCAAGGTTAGCCAACTTACTTTTTTGCCTAAGAGAATTTGTTTTTATTCCCAATACATTATACCAAAATCATCTCTAAGGCCATGATCAGTTCTTTATTCAGGGATATGCAATCAATGTTTTAACATTTAACATGAAAAAGTTATGTTTTTCAAGATTTCTTGTCAAACGTGCTTTGTGCTCCTAATTGAAGAATCGTCCATTAATGAACGCAAAGAGTATTACTCTAATTTGATAATTTTAATGAATTATCATTATAATTGATGCACTGAATTGTCTTTGTCAGATTGGTACATGATATACTTCAAAATGCACTAGAACTAGTACATTTCTAGCATGCCTAGGGGGTTTAACCAACAAACATTTCATTGTGATCAGAGTAAAGGCATAGCTAAAAAAAACTTTTGGTCTTCTGAAAATGTGACTGAAGCACACATCTGAAGGACCCAACGATCATGTTCTCAGGGAACACAATCATTCAGTCTTCAGTTTTCCATCTTTTCCATCAGAAGCTCCTGTGGATTCAGGTGTGCTTAATCTGAATCCTCCATGCGATTTCTTGTGCTCAAGTTGCTGGCAGGCATGAAAAGTGTAGTGTAGAGCATCTGTTTTTACAGCCTAGCTTTCAGACATCATCATGTTTTATTGAAGGGCAGACGGTCTACTTATGTCTTGTGTGCTGAATCATGCCTGAGGGCTCTATAACATTCATATTATTTGCAGTGGACTGGCCCTTAAATAGTATGCCACAAATATCAAACCAATCATGTTAAACTAGAATTACATGTATATCTGATGTCTGTGCAAAACGGTTCCCCGCTGTTTTTCAGAGCCACAGATGGCTTGATGCTTTATAGCATCATATGGCCACAATTATATGCGTTTCACCATATATTTTATTTAATTTACTTTAATTTATTTCAGTATAATCGAATTGACAATGTTATATTAATAATATATAGATATTATTTGAATATGTGTTATTTTAATTGTTTGTTTTTATTTAAATTATGATTATGATCTAATAATTGTAATAAATAAATATTTAATTAATTAATTGCATTAAATTGACAGTACTCCTGAAATGCACAGTGGCGAAAGGAGCAATTTATGGCAGTGCCCTTGTGCCCAGTAGTCTGCTATACAGTGTTTGCATTGATAAAACCCATCTGCCCCAGTTTGTGCTGCTGGCTATCTCCCTGGGCCTTCTTCTACATCAATGAAAAACAGCCCGCCTGCCATTCTCAAGGGACTCTGATAGCAATAACATCTACAGTCTCTACCATCCTTTCAAACAGGGCACACAATCTCTCTCTAGCTGTCACTCAATTCTCGCACTGAAATCACGGAGTTCGGATGCCACGTGTGGTTCCGCACAAACTCTTCTTCACAGCTTATGGGCTTGTTAACACAAAAGGGCAGGCAGTGTCATTGTGACTAAGGCCCCGTTCACACTGCAAGTCTTAATGCTCAGATCAGATTTTTTGCTCAGATCAGAGTTTTGGTTTGGCTGTTCACATTACCTTTTAAAATGTGACCTATATCTGATTCTAATGTGAACTGTTTGCATGTTTCAAACTAACCCGCATGCGCAAAAGAACAACAATGACATCATACGCAGCACACTGTTGCACTAATGTTCGTGTGGTTATGTTAAGTAAGCATTTACGCTTTTATTTCTAAATGTCTGTGTAATAGAAGCCGTAAAATTAATGAGCAGGTGATGATGAGGAGAAGAATGAAGACAAAGAAAGCAAAATTGGCTATTTATTAATTGGCCTATATATTAATTAGGTCTAACACCTCACTATCCCTCAATTGACTCGCTCCATCATTGTTCTCTATATGTATTGTGTCTAGTGCTTACTCGGCGGTGCATAATTGTGTCAAATGTCAGATGTAGATTGACGTCAGAGTCGCATTAAATCCGCCTTTTGTTGTTCACACTGCGGACACATTGAAAAAAATCAGATCTGTGTCTGATTTAGGACTACATATGAATGTGGTCTTAATCTGATTTAAAAAGATCAGATCTGGGCCAGATTTGAGTGTTCACACTATCTCTGAAGAAGTCTGACCTGGTCACTCACTTGACCCCCAAAAAATCAGACTCAAGCTACTTTTGTCTGCAGTGTGAACGGGGCCTATGTGTTCTTGTCTAAATTGTACCTTTCGAATCAAATATGGTATCACAGTCATCCCAGACAGCTACATAGTGTCGGCCCAGATCCGGCTCACATGATGTGACCCGGATCTGGGCCGACACTATGTTGCTGTCTGGAATGTCAGTTCAGATGTAATCACGTCAGTTCTTGCTTATTTTGTGAACGAATGTCATTGGTGCATATTTGACTATTGTGCTTTTAACTTACTTTCAACTCTTTAGTGTGAAATGTTTGAGCATGAAAAAGGTCTGCACTATAACAAAGCACAAAGCCACTCCAAAGGGAGTCACTGTTTCTGAACTCCCCAAAATGCCTCGATTGTAGCCTTGAGTTTTCTTCCAGGAATGTACACATCGCAATATTTCTCATTTAAATAATTCCTGGTTGAGTTGCATTGGTAGCGAGTTGTCACAATGTCTAAGAGACCCTATTTTTCCACCCCGAATCTAAACCCCCTATTTTTGGCCCGCCTAAGGCGGACGAACTGAGGAAACAAGTTAAAATGTATTCTTAACACTATTCCTCAGCAGTATTCAACTGCAACCTATTGTTGTTCTCAACATTTTTTCTGCTTTCTGTACCATGCAGTTTGATGCAGGTCAGATGTTTAAATGATAATAAACCATTATCTAAATGATAATAAACCATTATCTAAAATGTAAGAGATGTATAAAATAAAGAATTACCACTGTGAAACGTCCTGCACAAGTAGCGGATGAGAAGGTGGTTTGGGTTCATCTAGTTCGTCTTGACTTTCATTATTGAACACAGACTCAAACTGATATCGCCAAACTGACACCATTACAGTAGTGTTTACAGCAACCTCAGGAAGCCTTCAGATACTCGCTGGTTATGGTAAGGGGCGTTAGATTTCCAACACACGATCTAAGCACTAGACCAATCACAAAGAAACCAAAACTAAAGCAAAGCAGCAGAAAAATTGTAAATTGTAAGAAAAATATTTTTTTTAATGTGATATTTACATAATTTAACTTAAATTTTGTTCATGGGGTATAATAACATATTACTCCATGAAAAAAATTATGAACTTGTAAATTAGCATAAGGCCGTGTGTCCACCAAAGCGTTTTTCCACGCGCCTGGTGTACGTTTTCAATTGTTTTCAATGGGAGCGAAGCGTTTTTTAAACCCCATGAGCATAACGAGGTGCTGAGTGTTTTTTTCGCACTGAAGCGCCGGGCGCCCAGCATTTTTTTCACTGGTCGCCGAGAATTGAAAAAAGTTAAACTTTGGCAGCACTCATCACTGTCACTTTTTACCCACCCGTCCAATCACAGTGGAGGATGGGCGGGACTAACACTGACAAACTGTCACAACATTATTTCTGTACAACGACATCAACCAACAGAGCTAACCGAACAAAATAGATGAAAAATACATTTTTAGTATGAAACAAATTATCTGCGAAATCAGTTACAAGTAAACTGTGCTGCGGATATTCTGTATCATAGCAACGAAACGTCTCAAACGTCTGCCAAACCGCTCTCAAGCGCCCAAAGCGTTTTCAGCGGGCTAAAAACGCTTTGGTGGACACACGGCCTAATAGGACGCCTTTAAGAACTATTGTGAAGGGGAAGCGGAAGGTTTTTTAAAAGATTGATTTCTGGTGCCATGACCCATGACTACTGTAGGTGTTGAGGAATAAAGACTTGATATAAGAACAAAGATGAACCTGAGCAACCCAAAGTGCTGATAGATTCAAAGGCCTCACTGCTGACTATAACAGCTATTTATACGAGTGAGGAGAAGTGGGAAGACAAGAGAGGAAATGAAGGAACATAGGCTTGCTCTTTTTGCAGTATTTGCATTACTTTTTGCTGAATGCATTGCTTCTAAACAAAAAGCATATAGTTGTATGAATATGAAAATGTCATTCCAAGTCTTCTGTATAACACCATTGAAAAGACTTTGAAAAACAATACAATAAAAAACAGAAAATGACCAGGCAATGGATGTCAAGCTTCAAAAAAAGAACAAATGATCTAAATAAAAGATATTCATATGACTCAATATGAAAGTCACTCTGCAGTGGTTCGGGTATGAGACAAAAATGTATGGGGGGAAATGTTACAAGATATCTTCTTTTGTTTTCCATGGTTGAAAGAAAGTCATACAGGTTTGGAATGACATAAGAGCAACACTAGCAAATTAATTGCAACTATTTCTTCAAAGATAAATGTGTGCTTCTTTTAATCAAAACACAATGTCAATGAAAATAAAAGGCACTAAAAATCCATCCCCCTGTACATTACAAGTATTAGAAGCAACCACTCAATCTTAAATTAAGGTATTTTCCATTGGGCGCCAAGCAATTTTGCTACAAATGCAGTAAATCATTTTCCCCACCTGTGGAGTGGCATGAACAGATATTCATGGCATTACAGTAATGGGCTGCTATGTCAACCTCATACGCACACATTCAGGCCCTCATCACTCAGTGTGTGACTCTCGATCTGCCAACACCAGTGCACATCACAGATTCAGTGCCGTGTGTGTGTGTGGAAATACTCCCAGAGTCTGATTCCACCTCCGCAAGCATTAATGGGAATGAGAGACACCTGCTGAGAAACTCAAGCCCCAAAATGGCAGCCCTTCTTCCACACTAAATGTGGAAAACAGGAAACTAAACCTGAGCCATGTTTACTCTACCAGCTTAATCTTGTCAATGGCCAAATGAAACGATCCATGCTCATTCAACAAGTGGTTCCAACATAAAGATTTAGAGACACTTAAGATGCAAATATTTTAAATATTTAGATTTGAATATGCTGCAGATAAAATTGACTAATAGGCCTAATAGGTCCATCAGTCATGTTTCTCCTTAAATAATGGGGTTTCTTAGAGAATTAATACAATATTGCACAATGTTCATATTTACATTTCTGTGTATTTCTAATTATTATGGTGGACCAATTATTATTTAAGTGGTCGACAAATATAGGTTTTTCAATGGCCGATACCCATGCCGATATTTATACAGCAGGGTGACTGATACATAATATACTGAATCCCAAAATTACACAATATAGTTTGTATTAAAGTACCAAGAAAACAGAACACACTTGGACAAGATATAGCTTTTAGAGCCTACAATAATTTTTAGTTGTAAAATATTTATTTGGACAAGTAAAATACATTTTTGGTATATAATTTTATCGATTTTATCCAGGTGTAAAAAATTGCGAGTTTCTGGAGAGCAGTTAGGCTATTTGTTAAGAGTGAACAACATGATTGTTAAAAATAAATCATTAAAGAAAGCTGGAAAAACCTTAGCGATAATAATATTATAATATGTAAGTCAACACTGAGATAAAAAGAATAGTTTAATGCCAGTGAATGAGTGTAGGTCGTATTTTGTTGCATTGAGCGCTTCGTGTCTGACTCAGTCACGCACAGCAACCTGTTCCATCAATGGCATCCATGACACGTTTTCAAAAAAAAAAAAAAAAAAAAAGCGTTTGAATGAGAAATATTCCTAAATATCTACAGCTGATACGACGGCTACCCTGTTGGCTGCTCAATTTGAAAGAAACTAAGTGTAGTTCAAACTAGTGACGGAAAATTATTGAAGCATCGTTGAGAACATGGCAAAAACATCGTGCAAAATTACAACTAGCTCCACGCACGCGAACTGTTTATCTTCACTTTGCGCATTTTCTTTTTCTTTCATTAGAAGCAAAGACGCGTAACATTTGAGTCGGACAAACACACTTGTACATACGTTACATTCCTACGTTCAAAGACATAAACATTACAAAAGCGACATACTGTTGTGTCAACATCAGCGTGACTCTGTTTAACAAGATTACTCGTGTTCCTCTGAACCAAAGAACAGACTCAACTTACCTCACACACAAAACATTGTCCTCTGAAATTATACACTGGTTACACATTCACTTGATGGCAGAATGTAGGCTGTCTCTACCACGTAAACAATCAGATATTTCGGAAATATTCAGTAAAATTTGACAACTCCACGCACTTCCCCGTGATGGAGATGAGCGCGCGCGCGTATCTATGGTGCGTATGACAACAGGAAATTTTCTATTGGGAAAACATAAGCTTAAAGAGCACAGAAGCGCCTCCCCCGTCCAACACTACAGCCAGTCAGTCCTCATACTGTCACATCACGATCCACACTCAGCTACAAATATGACAAGACATTCTTAGCAACAAACATGGACATGATAATTACGGCACTATAATAAATGTAAAGAGCCTCAGGCACGTCATATTTATGAGGGTGGTGCAAATATACAGGTCATTTTACTGGAATTCAGAATATAATATCAATATTAAACCCATTATTACTGTTGGATTAACTGTATTTTTAGAGCAAGTTGCCAGTTTAGAAGCTGTTTGTCATATAAAAGGAACCACTAAAAGGATAAAAAGCAAGCAACAAATCATACTTTTCAGAGTTGGTGGATTGTACATTTCTCAAATAAAACACAATCTCATATTGTCAAATTATAAATTTATCATAAGTTTAATTATAAGTTTAAGGAGTTAGCTCATGATTTAGAATTTACCCGCTTACGTGTTGCTGATGACTTTCTTCTTTGGAACATAAAATTTTGAGTATTTTGCGCAAAAAATAAAGCTGATGAAACATGAAATTGTCTTGAATTGTCATGACTTTCTGAGCATTGATCTTTTAGGCGTTTTATGCGTAGCAATGTTGTTTTTCTTTTAAGTCACCATGAAATCAAAATGGACAATTATAATTTTATACAGAATATTGCAGTATTTATTATAAAATGCTTTATCTGTGCACATCATTATACTTTTAAAAAATTTCATGTGCCCTCATAATCTATAATCAAATTAACATCTCTTCTCTGATGACGCGTTTACTGGCACGAGGGAGGGACAACCTGTCAGTCCTATGAGATCGACCACTAGTAAACCCGACAAGTCACAACCATTCAATCAATTCCCCACTGACAAAATCAAGTCCCAGCCAACATTTTTCTTGTTCAAAGATGTCACAATAGAGAATAAAAAACTATAGCATCGTCCATTTCATGCTAACTTTAATGAAATTTATTATAACGTATTACTGAGAACATTTTTATTGTCTATGTGTAACCGGTCGACCCGCTCTGAGCGGGATTGGAACCGGGATCTCTGGATGACAGGTGCTCTAACAAGAACACCAAAGACTGCAACCTCAAGCGCACCTCTTGAGGCCAGGGGAGTGAGGTTTGCACACACAGATCTTACTGGTCTACATCCTTTACACTCTACAACCATCCTACACCTCACTTCCATCTGGGTCACGAAATGTAACTGGTCCTACTTGACCCACTCTAAGTGATTTGAACCGGGGTCTCTGGCAAGGGAGGCGAACGTGCTAACAAGAATGCTAAAGACTACAGACTCTAGCATCTAGCATCACCTCTTGAGATTAGAGGAGTGAGGTTTACATGCACAGATCTTACTGGCCTACAGTACATCCACTACATATGGAACAAAGCAGCCTGAACATTCAGCCTAATTTTAGTCTAATCTCATTTTGTGTTCCATGAAAAAATGGAGGTTGGAGCAGGCTTCACTCAAAGTTTATACAAAGTTTATACAATTTGTTTTAAGAGTGCTGGCCTAATAATGGTAATGCATGTATAGAAGAGAGAGGCCGCACTTTGCATATACAGTTTTATTATACACAAACGCGTTTAATAAAACTGTATATGCAAAGTGCGGGCTCTCTATACGTGTTCCATGAAAAAAAATGAAGTCCTACAGGTTTGGAAAAACATGAGGGTGTGTAAATGATGACATAATTTTCAGTTATTTCTATTTCCTGCCCACCCATCTGATAAATGGATAAATCTTGACTCACACACAAATAATTGTACATTGAATCACGAGGGCTTGCATGAAGATCATTTCAACCTGAAATTCATTTAATTAATTTTCATCTGTTGATTTATGTCTGGGAGTCTGACTTTACGAACATATGTCAGTTTCTGGAATGACACATATCAAACGCAAACGTCATGCTTATCGAGGTCAAGAATGCTAAGCTTCAGTCTGAGATTTGCTATTACAGTGCTTCAAGAATTTGAGGCACATAACTCAAACTCCTTATTTGAGATACCTCACCTCGGAGGCAAACACAGAGCTGTACTGTTTGGATTTCCAGGATAACTGTAGTGGCGTCAAAGGCAGGAACATTTTGAAAAGAGAAAGGACAAAGACTGAAAGAGTCATTGACACACCTGATACTCTCTGCTGGGGAGAGAGCTCAAGGCCAAGGGAGGGTCACTGCCTTCCTGTTGCTCTGAACAATACAGGCATTGCGACTAATGGTGCATATATCTATAGAAACAAACTGCTTGTGTAACGGAGGATGCAGAATAATGTACTTTATCCTGATCTCTTTTAAAAACCACACATAAAATGATACAAAAACACTGGGACAGTACCCTTCAAAAGGTTCTAAAATGTACAATTTAGGTACTAATATGTACACTTTTGGTACCAATATGAACCTTTTAGGTACTAATATGCACTCTTTAGGTACCTTTAGAAAGGGATCATCCTGAGTTATAGCTTTTGTACCTTTTTTTGGAGAGTGCAAGAAAGTAAAATCAAAGTTTTGTGGCTTTGCTGCCAATGCTCAACCATTCAGCAATAGGCACTGTTCTCATGTCACACATCCATTTTCTTGTGCACTGAAAAAACATTGCACAGCAAAGAGGACACTGACAAAGCAGGTTATTTCAAAAAGTCTCAGCTTTCAAATTCTGTCCATTTTTATTTCATTATTTCATTTACATTAATAAGTTTAGAGGAAACATGACTGCTGGAGAGGAATGTGATACTTGCTGGCATTAGGATGATCAATGTTTAAAAAAGGAACAGCGATAGATGGAGAAAATGACAGAGAGAGAGTGCGAGAGAGAGGGCTGAGCAACAGAGACAAGACTAAAATGAGACTAAAATGTCAGATGAGTCACAGTCGTTCCATTGAGAATGAGCTTTAATATGTTTCTACTGGCTTAAATGGAGGCAGAAAATGTACTGTGATGCTGTGGGGAAACAAGCCATAATCTGATCTAAATGGAGCCTCTCAACACCATACTCGACGAGGAGAATAAAAATATAGATCTGACCTACTGAAAACAAAAGCAAATGACACATTCTTAGACTTCAGATGCCATCCTGTCACCAACGCTAACTCATCTCTTTGTATGTAGCCAATATTTAATTAAATCACTGAAAAAGAATTTCGAACCTGGCAGCAAACCCATTCCACTGCCCTTATGTGAGAGCTGGACCAGAAATAGATATGGTGTGCCAGGCATGCTGGAAGAGCTCCAGAGTATCCAGGCTCTCCAGAGACAGACACTCTCCCATCTCCCAAAATCTCCCTTCAGATGTACAGGCTGAAGTTGGGTGGTTTGGCCTTGCCTCAGGCATCTGTTAATACATCTGGACATCTTGCCCACGAGCACACAGATCCAGTGCCTACAGCGGTAACACGATCTCTGGATTAATTGAATGTACCGGGTTCAGAACAAGTTAAGCTCTAGCAACAGCATCAGCGGCGTGATCAAAGCCACATTTCATTTCCAATTGCCCCTCAATTTTTAAGCAAAAAAAAAAGTGCAGTTACAGTTATGAACGTACAATGAAAATCGTTTTGGAGGGTTTCAATGCAATGTGCAATTTGTAGTGTTATTGAAGCTTTATTAACGTTATAATGTTTAAAGGCCCTTGCACACCGAGTCCGAAATTCGCGTCCGAAATTTTCGCACGTTAAAAAATAAACGCTTGCACACTGCCGCCGAAACTTCCGTACGTTAAGAATCGGGTTCGATTTTCTGCATTTTTCGCATCCGGAAGCAGTTTGAATGGTGTTTTGACAATCCAGAGCCAATGAATCACGGATCCGGAAAAAAACGGAAATTTCAGACTCAGTGTGCAATAGCCTTAAGTCTTGCTGTGCTACTTTTGAAACTTTGGTTATTTTGATGTGTATTCCAGTGCAATGCTTTGCCCCACATACTTCCATTTAAGTGCAATACTGTGATTTTTGCTTGATTTAGAAAGAAAAACAGTTTACTCGCACAGCTCTTACTAACTGGCCTTGATTGTACTCTTGAGTTTTGTTCTGGGAACGTACAAATCACAATATTCCTCGTTTTAATAATTCCCACACAAAGCATTGGCAAAAGGCGGCGTCATTGAAAGCTTATTCCACAAGAACGGAACAGAGAGAGAGAGAAGTGATCACGTTAAGGGGTGTGAATCTGGAAAGTGATTTTGTACCTTGTAGTGACGAAGTCACCAGTCGCCGCTCATTCACTAAGGTTCAGCTCTTAGCAGAAACACAGTGCTTTACTTACAGCCTTAAATCAATAGAGAGAGAAAAGGGAGGTAAACAGCGCTAAGAGCATGTTTCTTGTCAAATGACCCTTTGGCAATCATGGCAATTTTCATACTTGTATCACCAACTAAAATGAGTTCTTAAGCCTAATTGCTCCACTAAGGTGGTGGCCATCTTGAAAAATGTCCGCCATCTTAAAATTTCAAGTAGCTGTGGGTGGCTTATTGTCTAGTGACCATCAGAGACTGCTCATGCCAATTGTCATGCTTGTATCACCAAATAAACCACTATATCACTTAACTGCTCCACTAAGGTGTCAGCCATCTTGAAAAATGGCCGCCATCTTGAAATTTCAAGTGGCTCGGACAATTTTCTTGTCAAGTGACCAATGGAGACTGCTCATGCCAATTTTCTCGCTTGTATCATAACGATTCTACCAAACATAAGCACTTACAACAGCTTTAAGTCAACAGAAAACCCCAAAATGACTCAATCTTCTCTCTAAAACACATTTATAGTCTTATCGTCAAAGATTCATTAGTACATGCAATTCAGTAAATATAATCCGCATCAAAAGGCCTCTGAAATGACTTTTCCATTGACATCACGAGGATAAGTTTCAAATAATGGGTGCTTCGTTAAGTAATGGACACTTTTCACAATCCAATCAATGCCATAACGATCAAAATGAAGTCCCGATCTGCATGTTTTTCTTGTGAGCATCCCGTTTGATGTCACATTACAGAAGTTAAATTGGTTGAGAATATAA